TCTCTCTTTCTCTCTCTCTCTCTCTCTCTCTCTATCTCTCTCTCTCTCTGTCTCTCTCTCTGTCTCTCTTTCCCTCCCTCCCTCTCCCTCTCTCTCTCCATCCCACCTCAGGCAATGAGCCAACTAAAGCGTGGGCAGAGCGCCACCTATCACATTCTAATTAAGCTCACGGAAGATTTACATGAGATGCATGCACATATCAAAATGCCCCAGACAGTTCCGGCATTATTTGCAGCGATCAACTAAATTCGGAGTGGGCAAGTCCGATCGGGAACCAAAATTGCACTAAAAATGACGATACACTTTTTTAATGTTTTTGTCGGTGTTGTCGCCGTCGTCGTCGTCGTCGTTGTAGTTGTTGTTGTAGTAGTTGTTGTTGTTACTTTCGTCGTCGTTCATTTTCTTCTTTTTCTTCTTCTTGTTCTTAGTGTTCATCTTGTTCTTGTTCTTTTTTCTTCTTGAAGACCTTATTAAAAATGGTTTTGCCGTTGTCATCTGATTTGTCGCTGTCATTCTAATTGTTGAAATTGTCATATCATCATTGTACGACGATGCTACTCCTGGGTTTTTGGTTCTTCTTTTTTTTGTGTTGCTGTTGTTATTCTACAGTTTCTGAGGTCCTTCTTCACACAACAAAAGTCATTTCCGGGACCGGCAACTTAATGAATTCAACGTCAGTGCAAAAGGCTGACGTGGAAATCTCCTAGGAAAAGACGGGCAAAAATAACGAGATCAACATATGATGAATCAATCATCTGTCTGCACTGTTCTGCACTGCAGATAGTAGAGTTTACGTGTACCTTTCCCCTTTCTGATCGCCCTGGACACGAGAGCGTGATAAGCTGTGAGCTATCAAGACCAAGCACCGGAAGCCCAGGCGTTTCCCAGATATCCTCCCACTCTGTGGCCAGTATCCGGACACTCGCTTCCGCTACAGTATTATCACGCGCCGGCGGAACTGTGGGTTCGTGACAGAAGTCGGCCGGTTGGTTACTATCGC